CTGTCTCTTTTTCTCTGTCTCTCTCTCTCTTTCTCTCTCTCTCATCTCTGTTATACCTCGTAACCCTTTTCAGACAGCTTAGTGTGAGATTATTAATGTCCCTAAGGTCTTCCGGTTGGTCCGCCAGAAGATGTTGTGCCTCGCGGTGGTTTGGTTTGATAAAGAGGCGCGCGAGCAAGATGGATGGTGCGAGATAAGGAGGCAAGGACTAAGAGTCCGAGAAAACCCAGTCGTCGTAGAAAGGATGATCCTGCCGCTCGCGAAAACGCGTGCTACCGTCCATTTAATTAAACACGAGTGAGCGAGCGATCGATGCTGCCGCCCTGCCATTTTGTAGCACGGCGAGCGGCATGAGAAAGACACTGAAAATGCCCGGTCATTACCATCGAGTACTTGTGTACCTCTCAATACCAATTACCGATCGATCGGCGAGACCGATAGACGGCCGTCTCTTGACGTTTATTAAGCAGTAAGTTTAAGCTGAAATTGATAACGTTAAGGGGCTCTCGTGAAGTGAATCTTACGAGAGCACCGAGCAACTATTCCACGGCCCGGAAGTTTTTGAGCGCTTCTTCTTGTCGCCGCGAGAGAAGATAAGCGCGACCTGAAATAAAAACACGCCAAGGCGTCTCCGCTGGAAGAACAATTCGTATAATTTGTAGAAAGTGACGGGATTTAAATGACGTTTGCTTTCTATCAAAGCTCACTAATCACACAGCAATTGAGGCGACACATAAAAGCGTCGCTGTCTCTCTGTAAAATAATATTTCGCTAATATCTCCTCTATTCCAGTTATTAATAAATAAATCCTCGAAAGCGAGAAATCGTGTCTGGCACAAAAAGGACGTTTCCGCTTTCGTTCGCCGCCAGCGTTTCTGATACAACGTTCCTTTTTCCGGAATTTCTTATCTCGTACTCGTCGCTGAATCCTTCTTTTCTTCTCCCTTTATACGGCCCATTATTTGTCCTGCCGCCGTTTCCCGACTCTGAATGTGTACCTCATGTTCCAGCTGAGTCTACCGCGTTTCCTGTACCGATAAGTGCCTTTGCTTCGCGCACAGGCCATCGAACGCTCTTCGAGCTTATATTAAACGCCCTCTCGATGACTCCGGCTGCACTTGCTATCTTTAACTTTCACGTAATCCGCTGTATCCTCTCGGAAGCTTCATATTTCAAGACGCTCGCCCACAGATCCACGAGGCACACGTTGCTCAACCAGATAATACAAGGCTGCGAGGTTTAAAACGTCCTACACATCGTGCGGCGCCTCTTAAAAACTTGAAAGCGCCGTCGTACCCAAGTGAGAGTGAATATACAGTGCTGTTTGAAGTAGGATATCAACGCACACACCGAGGGCGGACTTGTACACCGTTTAAAACGCCCCGTCCTCGGGAACGAAACTCGGGGCAAACCGCGGGGAAAACTTTCCATACGTTTCTTGACAACCGCAGACACCTGGTCCGCTAACTAACTGCTAATTTCAGACCAAGTCGAAGACAAGCAAGGCCATTCTTGTACTTGGGTTACTTTCGCGGAGGGTGCTGGGACGCGCTCCCTCGTCGACAAGAACGCGACGGTCTATTCAGACCCGTGAATTTACCCGAGCACTTAGCGCTCGTTATTCTTGCAAACGAATTTTTTCGCCGTTACACATCGCCCCGCACTCCAAAGGGAGTGACTTGAGCTCGCTCGTTCGCTCCTCTTGCTATTCTTGGCGAGAAAGTATTCCTCTCATCTTCGTCCGTTAAATTCTCTCTCCAAATTAGCTTTGAATCCTCCTGTTTTCCCACGTTTGTACACTTGCACCTACTAACTTCCCCAGCTCTTTTATCTTTACCTTTATCTTCATCTTATGCCGGTCTTAAATTACTTTTATCTTTATGTATTTTAACGTAGCGTTTCAAAAGAAACATATTGAGCAGTTTCATTTTATTCGAGCAATTACGAAGCTTGATAAAAATTGAAAAATATTAACCATTGAGAATTTCCAACAAACCACACATGTATCACGAGAGAATAGATGATCGGCTGAAACCAATGATTTTCATTGGCCTGCTCGTAATAATTATACATACATATCGCGGTAATAACGCCAACAAAAGATAAATCCGTTGTTGCGTTTATGCCCGAGTATTCCATAACACTGATATCGCACATCGTTTCCCAGTGAGCGGCGTTGGAGGTGTTGCGCTCACAAAGGCAACCACCGGGATTTCATACAGGAGCATTTCCTTTTGAATAATTCTATTCATATAGGGAAGCACGTAAATCATAATATTTTTACTTGGCCTAACTGATATCGAAATAATAGAAAGCTCCTTGAACAGATAAACTAATAGTGAGATATGTAACGGCACATAAGGAGCAAGCACGGATGTCTTAGTGCTATTAAATACTAATATTACTTTTTAATATTAATATGATTGTGGGAGGATAAAGTTGTCCAGTATGTTAAACGCACGTATCGAAATTGTTCGCAACATATATAAGGAATCTATTTGAGTCATCGGTTTATTGGGGGGATTTTAATAAAAAAAAAAAAAAAAAAAAAATATATATATATATATATAAATTCACTCAAGGATCGGTCTAAGTATGAAAGGTTGATTCTCCGTGTACGATAATCGAACAATTTCGATACGTGCATTTAACATACTTTTATCCTCCCACAATCATATTAATATTAAAAAGTAATATTAGTATTTAATAGCACTAAGACATCCGTGCTTGCTCCTTATGTGCCGTTACATATCTCACTATTAGTTTAGCTGATATCACTCACTAGCATTAGCTTTTATACAGCTATATTCGTGCGGGCGCATAAACTTGCGCATCTTTTTTACTTTTTTTAAAGAAGGTAAGTTTATACGAATCAATCCAACATGGCCACGGTGACTACCCAGAAGCCTCAAGTGAGACAAAAATTGATTTGTTTAAACTATTTCAATAGATACATTTTTAATTCAACAAAATTTATTAAACTCACAAATGAATATTTTTCTTTATATATGTATAAATTCTCATCTTGAGCAAAACTTATTCCACTTGAAACAAATTCCAAAACTCTAAAATTCTCGTTAGTAATACGAAAAACAAAATAATGAAAATTACTCGTATTGTATCACTTCTGTTTGCGTACATATTCTTGCAAAATAGAAGTTAATAGGCTAATTAAACTACGAATCGAAATATATTTGATAATTTGTCGACAGGGAACAGTTTAACAAGCTACGCAACTAAAAAGTATTTCGCGTACATATCATTCCGTCTGAGAATTTACTCTTGATTGTAATTCTCGATTCCTCGCATCGTTTCGCACAGCGAAAATTAATCGGTTAATCGTCGCAAATTAACGTTCTAGCGTAGTTTGCTTCCAGCGCCGGCACACAGATTGGTAAATAAATTGCAACTCCACAGTGCCGCCATAATTACACCCGACAAGTGCCATTAGTACGGACCGTCCATTGACGCAGAGTTAATCGTGGATGTTTATAATGCAAATTAAAAATTGGAACGGAAGCATTCTACGTTCGGAATATGTGCGCACTATCTGTGCTGCTCAACTACACATTTGTTTTTCAACGAACGCGTCGAGAAGAGTTACCCGGCAGCGCGAAATAAATTTCGCACATGGAATCCAATAGCGAGCTAATGTAACTATAAACCAAATCCAATTAATCAAATCCATAATTGTTATTTTGCATTTTAAGGATTCACTCACTTGAAAGTATTCTCGATAAAAATAAAAAAAAAAAATCAAACCAATTAGATTTTTAACGATGTCATACAGAAAAAAGATGATCGTAATTTAAAAATTGGCACGATTACTTTATGATGATATTGTAGCCTCTTCGAAAAAATCGAGCCGATACGTGGCGTACTTTGTAAGCAGTGAGGAATGAACTCCCCGCTACCCTTCCGCTAAGCGCGGTCCTTAAACCGTTATAAGACTTTTACGATGGTGGCGGCCCCGTAACGTCGGATGTAGACAGCCCGGGGTGTAGTGAAAATCCATGTCGGACGGGTCAGGTAGTGCAATAAAATTCGCAGGCAGCGCCTATGGTTGGCTGCTCCGCAATGCGCTACATCGATACTTTCAATCTAATTCGCAAAAATTCGAAACAGACCAAAGCAGATTCCAAAATATTTAAGGAAGTACACATCTTTTTTTTACTTACCGTCCGGAATATCTCGGTGAAATGGCAGTGTAGCTCGTGCATCTCTTACAAAAATTCATCACTCGCGAGTACGCCGGAATCGAAATTGAAAGATTGCGAAGTAGGAAATGTTCAATACGTTTCGATATAAACACAAAAGTTTTTAATTAAATTATTATATACAAATTGTATGGCACGCGCGCGCGAATTTTATACTCACCATTTTTAGAAAAAATGAAAAAGGAAAAAAGGATATTTTTTAAAATGCCATCTTTGTATTTAGATATTTGTGTCTCCAAACTTTAAACTTGGGAATATTAAAGAAATAAAAAATACCAAATTTAATTATATATTTTAATAATATATTTAATATAAGATTCGCAAATATAAAATTGGTAAACTAAATTGTAAATATGAAATTGTGTGGTTTCACAGTGTACAATTGTTTTAGAATATGTTTAGAATATGTATGAAAGACAAAATTGTGAAGGTTTGACATTGACAAATTTTACTTATATTCTGATATAATAAACAAATTATATTTGCAATAAAAGATTTCAAGCATTTATTTATAAAATGTAATTATTTCAGCTTAACGCAAAGATATAAAAGTAAACTTGTTTAATTTAAAATATTAAAGAAAAAAATTAACTTTCTAGTTTTTTTCAATAAGCTCAATTTCAAAAAAATTAATTTTATATAATAACATAAGCTATAATTATATATATATTAATAATAAATTATTAATATAATTAATTTTATATAATAATATAAGCTATAATAATTTATAACTCACACAAATATATATTATATGGTGGATGTAAGAAGTTTTGCACGATTATATACATATGCAATCGTTCCTTTATTTATATCAGATACCTATTAAAGTTAAAGATATAGCCGAACAAGAATTTTATCCAAAAAAGATCTTATCATATATATCAATATAAATACATGTCTTATATATAAGTTTAATTACATACCAAAGTATTACATGTCGTATATGCAACAGAAATCGTACAATACTAAAATTGAAAAAAAATTTTTTTTAAATATCATAATAAGTGGATCAGCGATCTTCATTCTTTTTAACTAGTTTCATCAATTTTACAAAACAAATCGCTATTTACGGAACGTTTGTTATATTTTCAATAATTTATTATTTGTAAATACGTAACAATTTATTATTAAGATCCCTGCTCCACTTTTACGAAATTTAAATGTAAATTTAAATGTAATGCTTTTTCCGATTATTGATACAATATGTATCTTTGTTATCTTTGTTGATCTGAAGTAGATTTTTAACTTAATCTATTTCTCTATCTGTAAATTCCAGCCATTTTCCATTTCTATTTCTTCTTAGCTTATCTAGCTTCTTGCGTTGCAGAACGCAGAGCTTCCATTTCGACTAAAATCACCAAGATCCCCGATCATGTTCTTTGGAATAAATGCGCGTTGTCGCTACTTTATCTTTCTAGGTCAAATTAGTCGACTATTTCGTAGGAACGTCGTCGCGAGTACTATTTAATTTAGGTGTATTTAGTAGTTCCGTCGCACGATCAATAGCCAAGTTTTCGATAATTTTTGCAAAAGACTTAACCTTCAATTTACCAAAATTTTCATTCCCTGTGCTAGAAGTATTTTTGGTTTCCTCAGTGGATGTTTCAGCAGCTGCCCGATCGGTTAAAGAGTTTTTGCTGCTATCGTCATCGTCATCATCTTCTACAGTAATGACTTCGGGCGATTTGCTCCTGGTATTACTGTTTGTCAATGTTGTTGAGGAAGTACTGGCATTATTAGTCTTACTCGTCTCCTTAGAATTCGTAAGATACAAGTGAAACGAATGAGAGTGTCGTAAATGCCTTTTGTATCTCTTCTCATCAGTGCTGATACGTGGACATAATAGACACTCTATCGCAGGAATCTTCTCGGTCAATTGGTCTAGTTGTGGATAAATCAAGTCATTTCGGATTAAATTTACGTGAGCATATCTTAGATGAGCATGGAAATACATCAGAGACGGATACTGTAATAGACATAATGGACAAATGTAATCAGTACTATCATTCACTGATACACGCTTTTGTAATGGAATCTCTTCACTTCTAGGTATGGTTGCCACAGCATTTGAAGCAATAGGTCCACTAACTGGTTTAGGAAAAACATTCGTAAAAGCTACATTGGATTTGTTAGTAGATCCAGTTGAAAAAATCGAATGCCCATCTAACATTTGCTCTAGCGATATATTAAAAGTATCAGATAAAAACTGATTCTTTTTGGGCCTATTAGTAGATTCAGTGGACGTAGAAACTGAGGTGTCATCTTTAGCTTGATTATCCTGTCCTTTTTCCATCATTGTAGGTATATTGGCTTCAGATCCACTAGCAGTTATTGCAGAAGTTGAAGCCTTCTGTTTAGTTTCGTTGTCTATTAGAAATAAAGGTTTGAGTTGATCCGGAGTTGGTTCAACAGCAACTTTATCCTGTGCTTCCTGCGTGGCCGAAGTATTGTTTGTGTCATTACCAGATTGTTGAAAAGATCGAGTTAAATTGTTTCTAGATACTATTACTTGGTCAATCAGCTGCGGAATAGACTTGTTCTGAGTTTTATCTTCACTAATGATGAACAGATCTGACTTTAAAGCAGCATGTTTATCTAATAATTTACTAAAATGAACATGAATAATGTGCGTCTGGATCATATCAAGAGAGATGAACTTCAAATCACAGTAAAAGCAACGGTATATGTATTTCTCTGTAGATGTACTGACAGTAGATTTACATTGATGCTTCTTGTATTCAGCGCTCGAAGAAAATGTCTGACCACAGTTATTACAAATTTTAACATTATCGAGCGAAAGTAAGCCATGAAAATGTTTTTTGTGACACCTCAGTGAAGCAGTTGATGTTAATACTTCGCCACAGTCGTTACACGTAAATTCTTTGTAGATATCACGACAAACGTGAGTTAAACTTTTATGCTGATCAAGCAGATAGATAGTCTTACATCGTCTACTACAGAGATCACATTTAAAATCGCCATCATTAGTGTAGAATAACTCATGATTGTTAGCATAATTAGCATCTGTACATTTAAATTGGCAAACCTTGCAAGAATAGTTCATGGGTGGCAGTTTGATATGAGGTTGCTTTTTTTTTTCTCGATTTATAGACAAATTTATAACCTCTCCGTCTTCCTCCATATTGATTGCCTTTTGATTATTCCTTAGATCTGTAGTCCTTAAGTTTTCTTTAGGTATTTCAGATGAACTTTCTTCATTGGAATGCACATGCATGTTGTGTGAATGGAAATGTAATTCATGATTGAATCCTTCCTTGCATATGTTGCAGGTATAACTGTAGGATTTACGTTTGTCCTCTGGATAGTGAGTAAGCTTGTTATGATGATGATACATGTACATGCCTTGGAACTCTTGGAAACAAATCGAACATTTAAATTTGTGATTCTTGTAATAGTACATCCTATGTTCCACATAACGATCGAGAGTCTCAAATGCCAAGTTACACACATTGCACGTCGCATTTCCGTTATCCAACTCATCATCTTTCCCTTGATTACTACGAAAATTCGGCATAATTGTCTCGAGCATTTGTCGGCCGTGCAGATGCAACACGTGTGGTCGAAGGTCGTATTTCTTAATGAAACCTTGATTACAAAATACGCAGTGAAAATCGTAATTTTTTGATAGTTCTGGTACATGCGCAGCAGCGATGTGCGTTTGTAAAAAGCGTTTCGAGCTAAACGCAGTATTACATAGTGGACAGAAATCAGTGACACGACTGAAACTGCGTATGTGTTGTTCTAAGTTCTTCTTGCTCTGAAATCGCTTTCCACATATATCACATGGATAGGTTTTACCATTCGGTCCAACGACATTTAATTGTGTGTTTGCAGTATTCTGGTCATTGGCTGTAGAATTATTAGTCTTCGGAAACTCGACAGGTTGTGATTCGTCGACATTTACAATATTTTCCACGATAAAAATCGTTTTCCTATTAAGAGGGTTTTGATTACTTCCATTAATTTCTGTATCCTCTTCGATAATAGTCGGTTCTTCGATGATTTCCGGCTCTTCGTTATTTATTAGCCCTTCATCAGCTGGTGTTCGAATCTTGTTTGATTCCTCTACGGACTTGTTATTTGGGAGCTCACATGAAGCATCATATTTCTTTTCATCGAATATCATTGTGCTTTCATCGAATATCATTGTGCTTTCATCGACGTCCTCATTGTAATTAGCTTTAGGAATGACTTCTGAAGACATGTTTGTTTCGCTAAGATCCTGCTGAACTTCTTCCACTTCTCCACGTATTCGACAATAACGATCATGCACTGACCATAATATATGTGTTGGAAATTCTTTACCACACTTAAAACAGGGGTTAGATGACTTAGTTGAACATCTTATGTCAACATTTATTTGATATTGGTCATTCTCGTTTTGGAAATATTTTAGACAGTGATAAGTTAAGTGCTGCTTTAGCTGTGTAGGGTCGCATATTTCATTACAAATACAACATTGATTAGGTCTGAAGGTATGTTCGCGCAAATAATGTAGAAGTAATTTATGTTTTGTCGAATATCGTGCGTTGCATATGCTTGACATATATGCTACATGAGACGACTTTACGTGTATGCGTTTGGCTTGTTTTGTTGGGAAACTCTTCTTACACATTCCACATGTAATATTGTTACCATCCTGTTTTTCGGCGTCCACTTCCAATTCTAGATTATTTTCAGTTTGTTCAGTTTCTAAGCGTTCCAAAGAAACTTCTAGCTTTTTAAGCATAACGTCATTTCTTATATCACTCTTTTTAGATTGCGCAACATTTGGTTCAGTGACTGAAGAAACCGATTCTTGCTCAGAAGTGATCTGTGTTGTAGAAACGGAATGGTAATTTTTTCGCTTTTTATCACATCTCTCTAAAGTGATTGTAACATCCCTGAACTTAGGAGGAACTGTAGTGGTTTTTGAAGGTTCCGAGTTTGTTATGTCCAAATCAGCTTCACAGTGTTCCATTGCAGTACTGTTATGTGGAAACTTCTTAAATACATACTTTCTAGTGAAATGTCCCAAGAAACGGATAGCCCTCACAGGTCTTAATCTATAACGAATATCGTGATCAGATGACACTGTATTATTCGTCTGATCTTGGGTTACGTCACTTTTAACGTTTTCAACCGGAAGGCTTTCTAAAAAACACTTCATCGTTTCAACATCCGCATGTAATTTTACAAAAGGTTCTTTGGAGGAACATTCTTTATGCTTTTCACTTTGTTTCAAAGTGGAAACCTGTATTATTTGTTTTACATCGTTACTACAGTTTCCAGTCGGTATGTCGGACTGTCTATTATGTTCTGAAAGCTTGGGCTTCTTACTTTCTATTATTCTTTCATCATCACTTGAAGCATATATAGACGAACCATCTTTCATGGTATCCAATTGAGTAGTGCGTTTCCTTTTGTAAAGTTGAAGATATTCATTCAATGTTGGTTGTCGTAATTTTTTTAAAAGTGGCATATCTTCATTGTAGTGCTCTTCCATTAATTTATTACTCATTGTTGTGTTATCATCTGGAGACTGTTTATAATCCTTATTAAGAATACTTAATTCCTTTGATTCACCAGGATTACTTGAACATGACTCTTCATATATGTCATTCCTCAAAGTATCATTTTTACGAGATACACCTTTAGAGCTGATTTTGGATTTTTTAGTTTCATTTACAGTATTTGAATATATTAACTCGTTATGAGTGTGAAACAAATGAGATTGTAAATAAGATTTAACCTTAAAAGGGCGATTACAAAAATTACAGTACAGAGACAAATTAGAACGAATAGTTGGCTGGTTACAATGATACATCAAAATATGCGAACGTAGTGTTCCCTGATAACTAAAACACTCATTACAATATGTACATTTAAAAATTCCAATTTTCGTATAGTATTGATAATGCAGTCTACGATTCCGAGAGTTTTTGAATGTTATAAAGCACACGTTACATTCATTATCGGCATTCCTTTTTCTCCTATTCTTGAGGAAGATATGAGATTTTGTGAGGCGTCGCCTTTTTTTTCTCCCATTAAAATTTTTGTTCATTGTTTTAGACGCATTAGTATGATTATTTGCAGAGACTTTATCGCAATATTTTCGTTTCTTCCTAGGTATCGACGAAGTATCACATACACGTTCTTTGCCACTTTTCGTACTTCTACTTTTTAGATTAACAATCTTAAGTAGCTCAGCTCCACTTGAATCCTCAGAATGATTATCAGACATACTTTCTGTCCTTTTACGATTCACGTGTTTATACAATACATCATTATTTTCGGTTAATGATGACTTATCGCCATCACATATTTTAGAACGACTTCTTAGAAACTTATGATTATCCATTGTATTAGTACTTATTGTTTCATCGATGAATTCTTCTTTAATCTTCATTCCACCCTGGGTTTCTGTATTGGACTGAAAAAAAAAATGTAAATTTAATTTAACTCGCCCAGCTGATCTGAAAACACTCCGGAATCCGGAATTAATTTCTATTCGCGATGAAACAAACAAAATGGCCGAAAAAAATTAGACCACGCTGAGCGGAGGACGATCAGTGATGCGATTTCGACCCCGCACACTGGTTGCTAGAAGACTGGCCCGGCAGAAATCTTTTGTTGTTAATATCTCAAAATTCACGTAGTTGTTTAAAAAAAAGGCCCTGATTCCATTACTCACTACCCCTACTTATATATAGACACACACACACACACACACACACACATGTGTGTGTATATATATATATATATATATATATATATATATATATATATATATATATATATATATA